TCTCATTCTGTTACATTTGAACTGTTCTGTTAACTTGAGAGATCTCAGTTAGAACAAGCATATTCGCTTGGAATATTTAAATATTTCTAACCTTTAAAGTACCTAAATACAAATGACGCATCGACGATTCATGTGTATGTCTATTTTTCAATCACTCGGGAGATAGACATTACAAAGACCGCCTACGCACTTGGATGCTACATTGTGTGAATATTCTCTGCAACTGGGACTATTGATATCCCTCCTACACAGGAGTTTTCCCTACAAGTGTTTAACAAAATTCCCTGTAACTCTTCAGAACTTCAATGTTTCATGTTCGATTTATTCTTCTATAGACGAATTTTCTTAAAGAATATTTCTTCATATGTACACTATCCTGTTTGTGTTCAGCTGATATTCTTGTTGTCTGTGTAATCTTACAATAAAAATTCAATTATTGTGAAGTATTTCCTCAGATTAGTACTTCACTTACTGGGAAATGTTGATGACAAGTTAAGACTGGATTTTTTCGTTACAGTGTGTTACACTTAGCTGTATCAAAGATGCTGAGATCTATATATAGATTAGGATATCACTATGTGACTCGAAAGTAAGAAGATTTACTAAAATATGGAGAATAAGGGATTTTGTTTGTTGAGGAAGCTGCAGTTGCGCAAGAGGAGTAGTTATATTCTACAGTCGAGTATTAACCAGAAACAAGGATAAGCCAATAAACATTTCATACCAAGTTTCCTATAAATATTATCCAAGTATACGAGGATATTTCATTCCGTTGGCTACAAATCATCACTCACTTCTGTTATATTTAGAATGATATAGAAGGCGTCGAACGGCAAAGTAATACTGTGAATTGTATATAGATACACCTCTTTCGCTAACGCAGTAAGATATTAATTGCCGAATATCAAACTTGAACCTAACTTTCAGCTGGGCGTCTTTTTTATGTATCATGAAACCACCGCGATATTAGGTGTAGAGATTTAGGTAAAAGCGGTTGATCAGTTGATGGGGTTGTAAAGTTTCATCGACTCCATTAGCTTAGAAATATGTTACTCATGCATAGTCACCGTTAACCCGCCCATGCAACATTAGCTAAAGTAGATCCAGTCTAAAGAAAAGTCTCACTTTTGTTGCACCCCTTCTTTCAATATTTTAGATCAGTTTCTTCCCTATTTACTCACCTTCCATATTGCTATCTTTTACCTTAACATGAGATGTGCCAACTTGGATCATTTCGGAGATTCGATATTGATTTTGAAGTACTCACTGAAGCGATAATCTTAAAGCGACTCGTTTCAATTTAATTATCCATCCATCCATCCATCCAGATCAACCTAGGACGAGGCATTACTGCGTAATGGTCAGAGTTACCACACCTCATATCAGTACATCAAGTAAACAGGCAGTGAAACGGAAGATGAAGATAAGAAAATTCAGTCAAAAGAAATATAAAGTATGAGGAGAAAGAAAGGGAGAATGACAAAATGGTGAGATTCGATATAACGTCGTTAAGATGAGGATAGTGTGTGTATACATCTGCACCACTGACATCGATTCTGAGCCATGTGATCACCTAGAGTCAGTCTGCAATCACTGGTTCCTCTTGTCCCATGGACCCCAAACCACCTAGTCTGCATCGTCCCACATGGCTCAAACCAACAGTCAGAGACTTCATACATTGGTGTGATGTTTTAGTCTGGCCACCTGGGGCGTTTTTGCAGTCTGGACCTACTTCAGCCAACATCGTGTGAGGAGGCGATCGGTGACTAGACATACGTAATACGTGTCCCAACCATCTCAGTTGATGAAGGTTCATAACCCCGTCAACTGATTTACCTCTTCTCCCTAAAACTCTACTCCTGTCATCTGAGTTGCTTATGTGGTGTGGTGACACCAAGGGATACGGTGTATACTACGAAGGTGACGGTGGTCAAACACCTGAAGCCAGTCTTACATGTCTTCCACCTTGGATGGTCATGTTTCACAGCTATACAGTAGAACAGACCGGACTGTTAGGTTGAACTTTAGAAAAAATACAAAAGTTTAATCTAATTGTGATCATACTTCTTGTAATTTTAGTTGCAGTGTATGTAGCGGACACTGTTAGTCATAGTTACTGAAATGTGCATTTGTAGTTCACTTGATATCAACGGGTTACAGTGTGGTACATAAATATGTATACTCTTTGCAGTAGTTTATAATGAAGAAGACATCTACTGACATTTTACCATAAGATTTATCGTCATTTAATCAACTACTAATATACCTTATGTTTCACAGTAGTATATCTATAAATAAAACGAAAAATAATACAGCAACAGTTCATCCCAAAAGTTTTTTTCTGTAAATAAACTTTAGATTTAGCTTCGGAGTACCGGCTAGTGAGATTGTATGGTATTGGTGAGTGCTGCCTTGACTTTGGAATAATTGCCAATCTTAAGTTTAATTCACTTTCAAAGTTTACATACAGTTGTGTTGTACACAAGTTTATATCTCACCTGAGCATAAGTTCTTTTTAAGTGGTGTATAAAAGAACCAATTTTTATTCAGTATTTGTAGCTCATTTTTTATGTGGAAATATTTGAAAGGAAGAGAAATAAGAAAAGCTGTCAAATAATGACTTACCAAATAAACAGTCTTATTGTTAGGTTGAAAAGACTGCAGAGAAGAGAGTGCAATAGAGGCGTGCTACTGAAGCCTTATGTTCCACTAGGAACCCAAGGAAAAATTAATAATAATAATAATAATAAACAAATTAGATATACCTAAACTTCATAGGGAAACCTACTCATAGTTATTCAAAATTCAAAGACAAACGGGATAAGGATTAGAATAAGGATGGATCAGTGTTCAGACATCATGTTGTTTGGTTTATATTTGTATAACAAATGATTCCTACTATGATATTACTGTAACATTCAAATATCTCATATTTATTGATACTAATCGAAGCAGACGAAAGAAGAGCCGCTTTACACCAAGAAATTCAAAACCACCAACACGCACTTCATACACAGCTACGGTTATTGAACAAAGTACGCGTAACACAGTACAATCAGCAGATTACACATGAAATACCAGAGTTGCTACCGCATTAAACACTGAAAAGTAGAAACAAAGTGAAGTTCAGTCATACCAACCTGTGAAATTTTAGTCCCAACTTTCATTACTTCATTTTTCATAATCTGTATATCTTACTGCTTTAATTATGGCCATGTCTGAAAACAGAGATCAACACGACATCATGAATATTCGGCAGTATCAAGGTATCCATAGAGAAACCTACCTGCCAAGAGACGTCGAGCAATTCGACCCAGCAAAGTAAAGGGGAATTGCAAGTATCAAAGTCACGACTAATACCTGTTGCCCCAGTGGCCTGGTGGATAACTTTGTGGCGTTTGAAGCGAATGAGAATGTGTTCGAATTCCAGTGGGGACAACATTATTTACTGGAGTGAAGGTATAACCAACTGACTAGTCCCAAACAGGAGGAAAGATATGTCCAAGATTCCACTGTTAGCCACCAGGATCAACACAGTATGTTTATAAGACTTCTCTCCACTTCTGTAGTCGTTCGACAACATATCACTATTATTTATTATTTGTCCCCTGGGTTCCTAGTGGAACATAGGGATTCAGTAGCACGCCTCCATTACGCTCCGTTCTCTGCAATCTTTTAAACCTGCCTCCACTACTCCCCACAAGCTCTCATTTCTTCTTCACACCATCTTCTGCATGTCACCCTCGGCACCGACTCCCAACTCGTTGTTTCCCATCTGGATTCCAGTCGAGTGCCTGGTTGACCTGGCGCATGGTGTCTCCGAATGGTGTTCTCAGTGCATGCCACATCCAATCCATCTCCACTTTCTTCCACTGCATATTTGTTGAGCGATAGGTTCTCGGTTGGTTTCTTTGAAAGCCAGCCAGAGTTCCTTGTTGCTTATTCTTTCTACCCATCTGAACTTGAGTAACGAACCAGCGTAGGCAGTTGCTGATGAATGTCCATAGTTTATTGGAAATGGTTTTCGTAACGCGCTAAGTCTCTGAACCACATAGAAGCACTGACTTGACATGTTTGACAACCTACTTGTTTATTAATTAAGGTACTTCAGAACACCCAAAAGACGTTATGTAAACTGTTAATGACAGTTTAAGTTTAAATGTTATTGTGATCATCATTTTATGTAACATGACTAGTCTAAGAGTTAATGCTCTCAAGCTTTGAGTTTGTATGAATATGGCCTTCAGTATGAGTTAGTAACCATATTTATTAAAGCTATACATGTAGGTGAAGTTAGCTGAGCTTTTTCAATTAACACTAATTATATCCGGATATAATAATGTAACAAGTGAATGAGGTGGTTGGTTCACTTTATCTTGTATTGATTTGTTTACAATACTCTGATTTTTTAACCTAAATGTAAACTTGGTTGTCTCCCTCATGTTGTCGTATTGATGAACTCTCATCAGTTATCACGTAAAATATGTCTTAGTGTTAAGTTGTACCTAGCATGGAATATACATTTCAGATGTAATCAGCTTAACACTATCAACATCGGAGTCTAAATAGTATGACGTTAGTTACTATCTGCTAACTGATAAATTTAAAGTATCTAGTAATGGTCATATTAGCTTATGCAATACGTTTTCAACTGTGAAGTTGATTCACAAATCATCAACTCGTTTAATAGTTCATGAAATTTCTGAGGGTTATGGATACATATGCGTGAACTAACTCCAGATCATATATTCTACTCATATTTTCTTATATAATAAGCAATACTTAAAATTCTGTATAACATTTAAGCTACTTACTTTAGTGATTCAGTCTTGTACTATCGTTTTTGTCCAATTACTACACCTAGTTAGAAACTGTTATTTGACAGCATATACGACTAAGTATAAGAAAGTTGAAAGTATAACATTTTTGTTTTCAAGTTGCAGAAAAAGAAATTGATTAGAAATTTATCTATGACCCTTTATCGCATTTTTATCTTTCAGTGTATGGAGGTGTATGTATTTGTCTGTAGAATGTGGACACCTACATTTTGTGGGGATACAGCTAAATGGCCGTGTTACACAGAAGAAATGCATCCAGCTTGGTTTCCACTTGTTAAAAACAAGGATAATGTATTAAGTATCTCATATCTACCTTTAAAACATATGTGGCCTGATGACAGTTTATGGCTTCCTCACATACTTCAAGAAAATCTCGTTCTTGGTTGGTTTCATTTCACTCGAATTTCTCATCAATCGATTGTACCAAGTCAGAATCTGACGGATTGTTCAATAGAAACTGATGGTCTCTGCATAGATCCATATGAAATACCAGCTTATCATATGGAGTTATTTGCTAATGAACATGATAGTAGTTCTTCTAACGGAGAGGTAAGTTTTTGCATGTTAATTTATGTATTAAGATCCCCTGAATGAACTACAGAGGTATGCTTGGTGGTTCAATGGCGATCTAGATAAGAGGCTTTGAATTCTCTCTCAACCCTGTCACCATTATTACCACCATCCTCTATCGTCGCAGACATATCTATAGGTATTTGGTAATGGATGGACCTACACACATTTAGTTCTACTCCAAAGATATAGTTCCTATCTGTAGATAATACGCTTACAGTACATAAATCAGAGCACATCAACAGGTTCTTGGCACATATAAATTTATTAGTGAATGCAATCTAATTTGTCTGTGACTTAGAGAGTGATGAAGGTGAACTAGCAATGTTGGATTGTAAGATTATACGAACACAAGAAAGAAGTTCAGAGATTAGTGTGTATAGGGAACCTTCGCATTCGAATCACTACTTAGACTTCACATCCTCCCACACTATTTCAGTTAAAGTACGCTTAGTTAAATGCCTAAGGGATAGGGCGAAAACGCTTACTAATAGGCCAGAAAATCGACAACAGGAAATTAGACACCAAGAATACCTTGAGTCTCAATCATTACCCAACTAAATTCATAAATATATCAATAAGAAATGAAAGGAAAAACATTAGTAGTGGTAGTAGTAGTAATACAGGTGTTATCATCAATAATTCTACTACTAATGGTAATAATGATGACAGGTTTGAGAGAGAATTCAAAACCTGTGTTGTGTTACCATACAAGGAAGGCACCTCACAAACATTACGAACAATTCTCAATAAAGCCAGTTGAGATTAAAATGGTATTTAAACCGACAAATTCGAGTAGAAACAAGCTTTTTGGGTTGAAAGATCCTATCGATGCAATTACACACAATCACACAGTAGGGTGGGATAGGGCGACAGTGTTGAAAACTAACTTATTTGAGTGGAGTGAGGGAGAGATTGATTATTGAATCTTTGTACTATCGAATCAACACCAAATAGATGCATTGATAGGAATGATTCCGCATTTGTCTCAGATAAATGGGAAATTCTACTACCCTTGTGATCACAGAGAAGGAGAGAAAATTAGGAATATATAAACTGTCTCTGTTACGAATGTGGACAATTATCCCGTAAATCATGCTGTTTCTTCACTCTGTGACATTTCTCATAAACAGACTAAAATGGAACTACAATCAATTTAAGGTTTCGAATTGATAAACAGACCAAGTTTAGAGCTTAAGAAACAAATGCTTGCATAGGCGTTGCACTGGAAAATTTGAAACACTCCAAAACTTCAATATATCTTTGAACTTGCACCTTTCCTGCGTTACTTTACATGTGGGTCAAAACGTTTTCTGAGAGGGGTTTTCGAAAATATTTAATGACTGATTAGTATGCATGTTTCATGTTTCGAAGAATTTCGCATTAATTATAGCTTTGCAAAACGAGCGCATCAGTCTAATCTCTCTTTTATGAAATGATTATCTACATATATTGTTTCAAAGAACGATATTATTCGTATATAAGTGCTTCCTTCTCTCTATGTGTTTGCTTAGAGCAAGCTTTTGTTTTCACTCAAGCATCATCAAAAGGGTGAAGTAACAGCCAATCATCAGCGTTTGCTACAGCAAGTGTTGAAATTGAATCGAAATCTATTCAGCAACCATGTGCCATTTCGAGCAGTGGACGATGAGGGCTACGCATACTACCTGCCTACTCAATCCTTTGTATGTAGAGTTGTGTTCGAACTCGTGACCAACTAGATAAAAGTTAACTCCTTGAACCAACCTATCAGAACTGTAGTATATTAAATATCACCTTAATCTAACACAATGTTTCTTACAAAAATTATGGTTAGTTTCATGAACGTCCATAATGATGTATTTAAACGGAACTCGTAACATGGAGATTTACCATTGAAAAAACTGTCGAAATACCAGAAATAGTTAAATCACGTTCTTTGGTTGCGTGAAGAAAACAAACTAGTACCCAGTCTACGAATTACTTATTTCAATGGTTAGTCAATCATCCTATTTCATTTTTCCCCTATCACTATGTATCATCAGAAATTTTACCTTGATTCCATTTTGACCCGATGAAATATTTATGAATAGGATTTTTTCATGTGTCCATCGAACGATGGACATACTAACCATTCCGGTATGAGCGAAAACATGAAAAATATGATTCCAGTTTTGGTTGTACTGTGTTCTCTGAGCTAGGTTGTCTAATCATGAAGCTTTCACAGTCTTTCCAGACGATATCATCAGCACTAACTTCAGTATGAAGTGAGCCGTCAATATATCCCTCTCCGTGAGTGATTAAGTAGCTTCCCTGACCAAATGCTTCGTATGTGACTGGTTGTTTCCTTTGACTGTTCTATCATTGACTGTATAGATTTTCCTGTTGGCTGTTCCTCCGCTTCACCTCTCACATTTCTGTCGTTTGTCATTTTTCTCATTGGTCGATAGACTGGATATATATCTATACATCCATTGATTGCTGGCTGACTGACCTGAATGTCAAGCTTCTAAGAATTCTCTGATATTCCCTGTGTTTCCTCTCTCCGTTCAAGATTTCTACGATGTCGAAATTGAATCCATGTCCGTAGTTGTTATCCATGTGGATTGGAATGAGTGATAAAATGTCATGTGTGACGTTTAATAGCCAATCGATGTTCATGTAAATGACGAAGGCGAAGACGGCGACCACTTTGTCCAATGTAGTGTTGACTACAGTTCATCTTCTTTGGTTGTTGCATACTTTGGTTTGCATAATAGTGTTTGGAGAGATTTAGTTGGTTTATGACCCACACCGATTCCAAGTGGTCTCAGTAATCTTGTCGTGATTTCTGATATATTCTTTATGCATTATGGTAGGGGATGATGCATTTATTGATTTGTGTCGATGACTTTGTAGTTGATGATGCATCTTGTGATAAAGTTTCATGGGTAGCCGTTCTTCTTTAAGATCGATATCAAGTAATTTTCTTCGTTTCTCCATTAAGTTGTTGTACTGCAGTGTGTTCTCGTTCTTTTGAATAGAGTTTGTAGGTAACTAATTTTGTGTGTTATTGGGTCGTTGCTATTGTAGTTGAGGATTTGACCAGTATGTGTTGGCTTTGTGTACACTTAGGTTTTCAGTTTTCCGGTATTTGTTCTACTGACTAAAATATCCAGGAATGGTAGTTGGTTATTTGACTCCTTCTGCACTGTGAATTTAATATCACTGAAAACGTTGTTCATCAAATTGTGGGTGTTTTCTATATCATCTCTTTTATTGATTACAAAAGTATCATCTACATACTGAATCCAAATTTTTGGTTAAATCACAGGTAGGATGATGGTTTCCAGTCTCAGAATCACTGCTTCTGAAATTAGTTCATTCTATGGCAGTTAATATTCTTACTGATCAGTATGCAATCAGATTAGATTAAGCTAGATAGCATTATTGATTATTCAGACTAGTACAGTGGAAGTTAACAGGGTGACTGAACTAAGACGAAACTGCCTACAATATTTATTGTTGAAGGAAAAGAAAAGCACCGAACTTAAAGCTAAAACTTTTTAAAACTTCCTTCTTATCATCTACAGCATAATGAATTTGTCTATGTGTGTGAAAGTGAGTAAGAAATGACAATAATGATAACTTTGTCTATCATTCGTTTTCTATTATTCTACTAATTTTTCGTTGTTATTGTTAAATCCGATGTGGTTTCAATGCAAATGGTGCTTTTAAAGTAATGCCCATCTCTTATCATATAGCGTTTTGCTTTACTTCATTCTGTTCTTCCCGTTTTCTACGGGTAAAATGTTAAAGAATAAAATAGATTTATTTATAGAAACTAAACTGTTTCAGAAGATGGAATACTTTTTAAGCTTAAGGGCACCTAAATACACTCCTTTTGTTCCTCACTTTGCAACTGTCTTAAAATATCACAGCAACCTCCATACATACTACCTTTTTGTTTGTAGTTAACTATCCTACTAAATATATGTTACTGATTTGTATACAGAAAACTGTAGATATGCTAAGACATTCTTACCCATCATCAGATATCAACGAAACAACAGTTGTTTAATTTTATACTACTGATAAATAATGGTGTCTACCTGGCTGAGAGTCGAACCAAGCACTAATCGCTCCAAATTTATGATTATTATTTGTCCCCTGGGTTCCTAATGGAACATAGGGATTCACTAGCACGTCTCCATTCCACTCTGTTCACTGCAAACCTCTGAACCTGGCTTCACGACAGCCCACAAGCTCTCATTTCCTCCTCACACGATCTCCTCCATGTCACCCTCAACCCGGACGCCCAACTCGTCGCTTCACATAGGGGTTCCACTCGAGGACCTGATGCGTGATGTCCCCAGTCTGCCTTCTCAGTGTACGCCACATCCAATCCATCTCCACTTCCATCCATTGCATATTTGTTGAGCGATAGGTTCTTGCTTCGTTGGTTCGTTCCCAGAGTTCCTTGTTGCTTATTCTTTCTGGCAATGCATCTGATCTTCAGTAACAAGCCAGCGTAGGCAGCAGCTGTTGATGAATGTATATAGCTTGTTGGAAATCCTTTTCGTAACGCGACAAGTCTCTCAACCATCTACATAGAAGCACTGACTTGACTGAGGTTGGTGTTGAAAATCTGGATCTTGTTCCATATGCTGAGTGCAGTAGATCTCCACACTGATTTCAGATAAGTGAAAGCCTGTCTTGGTGTCTTTCCAATCCTGGTTTTCACATCCTCTTCTGTGCCGCCGCCACTGTCTGTAGTTGAAACAGTGCTTCCTAGATAGGTGAAACAGACTACTTCCTTTAAGTTTCTCCCACTCATGGTGATTGAAGCTTGTTGTTGTTGGTGGTGCGTTGGTTGGTTGAGTATCTTCATCACCTCTGTCTTCTCTATATTCACTTGAAGTCCCGTCTTCACTGCCCTGCCTCTCCTCTTCTCTCAACTTGTTACTTTTCACCCGTAGATCTTCGAGTTTGTGCGACAGTAGACACAAGTCATTGACGAG